GATGTTTTAAATTCTGACTGGAATATGGGAGGGTCAAGCTTATAAACTGCAGCTGTCTGCTGTTAGCCTAGTGAACTAGACCAAATTCTTGCTTTGCAAAGTTTGGTCTAGGCATGCTCCATTGGAACATCCGCAGCTCCTACCAGGACTCTGGCTAGCCAATCACAGTGCTCTAGAGGGGTTTCAAACACATAAAGAGCTGTGATTGGTCCATAATGGTGGGCCAATCATAGTGCTCTATCTGCTTAGTGAACAAATCACAGAGCTTTATCCGCTTTGTGGGCCAATCAGGGCACTCTATACGCCTGGTGGGTGGGATGATGCAACAGAGTGAAACAAGAGTATGTCACATTCATTGTCCAGTGGAATGTGGAGATCATTTGAAAGACAACGGTAGAACCCGCCCCACAACCGAGAGCCGTCAATGGAGCGTGGCCAGACTAAATAATACATTTATTTAGTCTGGCTTGCCAGGCTAGTCTGCTGTTGCTTAATGAGCAGAATAGACAACACACAATAGAGCCGAACGACACCAACGACGTGTCCTTTCATTTGACACTTTAAAGTGTCTGTTGTGTAATCTAGGGATTTTTTTGTGGAGCAAGTATCAAGACTTGTTTTGATTACACATGTAGTGACGTTTGACGCCTCGTTGACGGTCCGTACCACGTGACTGATTCAGAACAGGACAACAAAAACACTGCTGATTCCCTGGTCACATTTTGTTGTGGAATTGTTTTCCATACTAGATATTACCATACCACTTTATTTATATAGCGATTTGAACACGGCATTAAAACTGACCAAAGTGCTGCACATAAAACAACACAGGCAGAATACTCACATGGGTCATAAAAATAAAAACTACACTAATCCACGAATTTAAAATTGAACAACCAAGGTGGAAAGAAAGATGACAGAGTATGACTTAATGCTTTATGGTTTAGGAGGGATCTTTACATTAAGTTTACAAAAAATATGTATAAGACTACAGCCTAGAGGCTCTTTTATGCAATGTCAGGATTGCAGAACTGTCAAGTACGCATGGGGCAGGCATGGCCAATCAGACGTTAGCAAGTACCAGCAGAGCCAATACATGAGTTTATGGACGGTTCTAATGGGAAACGGGCTTCAACACAAGCGGTGGTTTTCTGCTTGGTTCTAGTGAACCAGGATACAGTTATGGATACAGATACACTATGGATAAAGGAACCTGTATCCATAGCGTAATTTTGTGTTTGGATGGTAATAAGTGCAGGGGACAAAAATGGACTTTGGAAAAAGTAAATTTTTTCATCTCCATGTATAAGCTTGACCCTCCCTCCAGTCAGCATTGACAAAGCATCTAGAATGAGAAGTGGAATGTCTTCAAGAACTAAAAAAGTTAATTTGCCTACATTTGAACCCTTTGGATTATGATGACCTGGATGATTCAGAACCTTCAGCAGCAAACCTGTAGTATACATTTCTGGAGCCAACTGGTAAACAAACACAAATGATGGAGACGAACATCACAGCCAAGCTGTTGGTGATTTGTCTTCAGGGTCCTGTACACCAAATCACATTATTAAAGGCTAAATTTCTTATATCCTGCAGGGTAAATTAGCTCCTTTTCCCTTCATAAACAGCCATTGTAACTTTTGTTTACTGGTGCAAAAAGATCCATAATGTTTATTTATTTATTTATTCCTTGAGGGTACTTAAGTGAGCATGGTTGGCAAAGTATCGTGGGATTATTTTCCGTCAGTAACGTCATAAATAACGTTGGTGAAAGAGCCCCTAACCACATGACTACAGATTCAGAACAATAATCCAGACAAACACTATGAGATGTAGAAATACATGAAAGAAGTGTATTTCTTAAAGGTTTAAGGCGTCTCAGCCCAGCAGAGTAATTGAACTCTTTTTGTGCCTGGGAGAGTGATTGAATATTCTGCCTGAATTCTGCCAGAAGCTTGTTAACAAAATAGTTTGTTAAAAGTCAAACTTGCATCATGAGATTGTTGCATGCACTGCATTTTAATCTTCTGATGCATCACAAATCAGTAAGCATTAATTAAGAGTGTATTTTAATGTTAGAACTCACTAAACGCTCACTGTTGCCACCAGAGTCTGTAGAGTTCTCAGTCATTAAATTATGCTGTTGAAAAAGATTTTGACCAGTCTGGATAATTTTTTTCTGTTACTTGGTCAAAGCCTTTTGTCCTTTTGGTCTCATCCAGTAAAGAGTGACTGTTTTCTGCTGGTTTCTGGTGTCCTGGTTCAGAAGAGGAACCCTGCTCCCACTTTGCTCCTTTTTTCTTCCCTTCAGTTATTTCTCCTCTGTTTGCATTCCCACTGCTCTGGGAATAACGCTGCCTTCTATTTTTATGCTCAGATGCTGGGGAGATGCAACCTCGTGGGATTTCGTTACAGCTTTCCCTATTCAGCCATTCGCTCGCTCTCTTCTTGCCTTTTTTCCGTCTCTTTGAGCGTCCATGGCTGAGGGTTAACCCATTTTTATGTGTTGGAATCAGTTGCAACACATTATTGAAAGAAGATGCAGGAACGGTGATCAAGCTGTGATAATTGTTCTCTTTAGGTTGCTCATCCATACCAAGAGGTGTTTAGAGAGTTGACTGATTTGTGCCAAAAATAGCTTTTTGCACAGGAGTGGATGGTAAAAAAAATGTTGATGCTCAGAGAATTATTTGTTTCTCTCCCATGGATAAAATTATACCGTGCAATAAGTGTTCTGCAGACAGGATTTTTCTCTAGTAATATGACTCTCAGGAACACCCCTGCCTCCTAAGTAGGCTACGCATGCAGATCTGCACGGTGACAACGAGCTCGCATCAACTAATCTATTTCTGAAGATGGTTTATGTGTGCACCGTTTTTGTTTAGGTGGTTTTTAACAAATTCCCTCCAACCGAAAGCTCCTTCAGCCATGTAATCACTTGGGATTTGGAGGTTTTAATGATGTCGCATATTTTAAGGGAGACGTCTTATTTCCTACGGAGCTCCATCCTGATGCACATCCCTGACACTAACACTGACAAACTGTCAGCACGTAAAGAAAATCCTTCTATCCGCATGTTCTGCCTCTGTGGGTTAAAGTTAACCCTTTGTGTTCCTTTCTAAGCTTTGTTTAGATTGCCTCAACCAGGAACTAGATGTTGCAGTTTGACACCTGCAAGAATTTAAAAATCCCACCCTGTTTATCTGATTAAAGGACCTTCAACGCAAGCCCCCTAATTTTTTTTCTCTTATATGTTTATGCTCTTCCACATCAAGAGGAGCCATTGAGGTGACTCAGACATCTGGTTAGGATGCCTCCTTGGTGAGGTTTTTTGGGCACGTCCAACCAGGAGGAGACCTAAAGGAAAACCCAGGACACGCTGGAGGAACCATGTTTTTCAGCTGGCCAGGGAGCACCTTGGGTTTCCCCCAGAGGAGCTGGCCCAAGTGGCTGGGGAGAGGGAAGTCTGGGCCTCTCTCCTCAGGCTGCAGCCCCGACGACCCGACCTCAGATAAGAGGAGGAAAATGGACGGACGGAGTGGTGTTGTGGTTCTGATCAGTTTAGGTTTTAGAGACAGACAATAAAACAGTGTTACATGTTAATTGTTGCAACCGTTACTTCCTCCGCAGGACTTCTAACCAATGTCAAACCACAACAAACAAAAAACTTGCTGGCTGAGCATGAATAATGAAGCCAGAAACAATATGAACAAGAGGCGAGCTAGAATAAAACAAGGAAAAGAAAAGTTCTATTTGATGTAGAATTTGTAAATCATGAATTGAAATATTTCCTAAATGTGCAATAAATCAGTTGAGAATAAATAAAAACGTAGAGCTCTCTAAGTTGTTTATTTCCAGTCTCAGATTTCTCCAACACAAGTTGGACAAAGATCTTTATATGTTCTTGAAAACAAGCAGCATGATTCTTTAGAATATCCTGGTCCTATTTATTTGTTAAAAAATCAGAGCCTTTGACCTTTCAGTGCTTTTGCATTTGGCAACAGAAGTATTTGTTATTGTTGGTCAGAATCACCAGACGTCTGTCAACGCTGCAGCACAGGTATGTTTCCACTCACTGAGGTTTAAGTGGGAATTTTTAAGACTTGGTGTGTCGTCGTTTCAAGACCCAGCCTCGAGTTCTCTCTTTCTGCATGCTTCAGTTGTCTTTTCTTTTTTTAACACAAGTGTTGGATCTGCTGAACTGGAAGTGTTCTATCTGGGGTTTGTGACTAAATGTGGAGCTGGATCTGCACTCATCGCCTTTGTTTGGAGCCTGGTCCGCTCTGTGGCCTTCTGTATGAAGCAGGTTATCTGCCTCTCTGAGCATGAGGAGGACGTTTACCTACACAAGTATCTTTGTGAATTTGTATTCCAACGACGCACTCCCCAACGCTAAGCTCAGCAGCAGAGGACTCGGATCTCTCTGTTTGCCGACTCGTACTCCGTTGAAGCGCCGTTATTAGAATCTTTGGAAGGTAATTTTGTGATGTTGGTGTCTGACTTTTATAAACTTTCGCCACCTTCAGAGCAAATGTCCAACATGCTAAAGCTGCTGTATGACAGGTGCAACATGTGATGCTGTATCATCTAAATGAAGTATCTCTCAAACTGCCATCATTACTCATAGGTGTCAAACCTGAGATTGTCGATTGAAACTTTGAAAGGAGAAGATAAAAAATTTAATACAGCTGGTACTTTTCAGAAGCCATCAGACGCTCGTTGGGCATTCTGACATCTGAAATGTCTGAATCGATAGCTGCACCTGCCTTCTAATGACCAGGGGCCACTGAGTCCCATATCATTCATGGGATTCTCAATTTTACAAGAATACTTTGCATAGATTTGAGTTTTTATTTGTTATTGTTGGACTCTTTCTTGTGATGTTTGTTGAAGATCCCACAATGCAAATTTATACAACTTGTAGCACGTTTTCAAGAAATGCCCATTAAACAATTTCTAACATTTTCCCATTTTCCCATGTGCCTCCTTTACCACTGGAGGCGTTTTAGGTCCAGCCTTTTTGGGTATAGTGAAGAAAGACTGGGCCACCTACAACAGCATCGCCCTCTCCTGGTCAGAAGTGCAACAGCCACATTCAGACATAGTGGACTATGAAGTCAAATACTATGAGAAGGTAAATCATTCAGGAAAATAAATACAAATATATTTTCACGTGATCAACTTTTGTTTTGTTTTGGCCAGCATCTGCTCTGATGCACAGTAAGATAAAGATCATGCACTGCTTGGTTCAAACAAGACTGATTTGTGCTGAAACACGTTCATCTTTTGTGCTAAAATCTGGTTTCTCATCTTCGTCTATGTGTTTATGAAGGAGCAAGAGCAGCTGAGCTACTCATCAACCCGCACCAAGTTCCCCAGCGTGGTCGTAACGGGACTCAGACCTTCAACTGTTTATGTCTTCCACGTGCGAGGTCGCACTCCAGCCGGGTACACGGCTTACAGCCCAAACTTTGAGTTTACAACTGCAGCCGAGGGTAAGACTCATCTTGTTGGTTGTGTGTTTAAGGAGGCAGTGGAACAAATGAGATTTTTATAAATGTTCTTGTTGAGGATGTTATTTAAATAGCAAGTCACCCCCTCATCGTATGTTTTTGCTGATAAACACTGTAGTCAATGATTTGGCACTTTAGTGCATCTTAGCTAAAATGTAAATGTTCTGCCTGAAACTGTCAGTGCTGTGCCGTCTTCAGGTAAAACCTCTGCACTGCATTAGAATTTCAATCTGCCATTCCTATTGGCTAAGAAATACACTATGACATTAGCTGTTACATTATGATGTCACAATGTTGTTGTGAGTCTGTGTGTGTGTGTGTGTGTGTGTGTGTGTGTGTGTGTGTGTGTGTGTGTGTGTGTGTGTGTGTGTGTGTGTGTGTGTGTGTGTGTGTGTGTGTGTTAGCAGCTCCGCCCTCATTCTCCCAGGCCACAGCATTTGTTGCATGTTTCAAAGCTGAAGTGGGAGTGGCGTAAGACTCTGGTAGGGGGTGACTTGCTCTTTAATAAAAGTGAAGTTCATACTTTAAAGGTGTGGTTTACTGAAAATCCATTTTTAATGATCATCTCTGATTATAATTGGTCACTCTTGAGTTTTTCATATACATTCCAAAATAGTCTCCTACACCAATCTCCTGCATTAACGTCTGAAAGAAAATAGATGGTGAAAAACCTGACAGATCTACACAAAGTGGTCGCTTGGACTCACTCATACTGGCTCGTGACGAGGAAGGCTGCTGTTAGCGTCCAGAAACAGCAGATAACGTCTCGGCTAGCAGAATTTAACCATTAGCATTACCAACTCCACAGCATGGCAGAAGCTCCTTCAGGCTTGTGTTATTTGTGGAGTTAAAACGTCCATGTAGAGCAAACAGAGTCAGTGGAATAGTTGTTGCTGTTATCCAATCAGAGGCGGGATGTCAAAATATCAGGAAATAAGACTCAAAATCCCGCCGTGTTAATCTCTCCTATGATGTAGCTGACTTGCCTGTGCTGATACAGGTGTTTCTGGGCTTTTTTGCCCAGAGTACATCCTGTAAGACCTCCATTCTTACCAGAGACCACTGCAAATATATATTAAACGAGTGTTCCACACCTTTAAGATGGTAATCTAAATAAATAGTTGATAATTTATTAAATATTTTGTCTACTTAAACTTTTCTTCTCCCAGATCCTGATGTTGCAGATCAGGGACAAGTTCTGGTTGTTGTGACTGCATCTGTGGGTGGATTCTCTCTTTTGGTCATCCTTACCCTCTTCCTCCTCATCACTGGGCGGTGAGACACACACACACACACACACACACACACACACACACACACACACACACACACACACACACACACCTGTCTCGGTCTCATAATCTACAGAGTAATGCTACAAACTGAAATCTGTTAATGGACCTTTTTTTTTTGCCACCAAGCGGACATTCTTATTTTCCAAATGGCTGAACCAATTTTCTGCCTAATTACTCAGCATGTAATGCATGTAGCAGCGGTTAGCTCTGGTCCATTAACCTCCAAAAGTTTGCCTGGTCTGTTGTCGCCACTCCGCCCTCAGTTAACAGGGTTTCACCATTTAGGCACACACACATTTTTCTTTTTCTTACGGACAGAATTCCAGTGTTTAAACCATCAGACAGATGAGACACCTGAGGCCAGAATACCGTGCTTAATAACCTCAGAGTTGTTGGGCTGCTACTTGCTGTTGGGGGGAGCTCTGGAGTGGAGCTGACATGGTGGAGCTGGAGTCTACTTCTAGCATGTTTCCTGCATGTTTTTGTGATTTGTTTGTTTTTTATTATAGCTCCTCTAGCAACTAATGAAAGCTGAGGAGACATTTCAGCTGTTAAATTATGGTATTAAAAAGACAAACACACAGTGATGAGTTAAAAGGATACTCAGCAAAATGTTCACATTTTAAATCATTTTCTTCAGCCAGTATGTGCTAAAATTACCCTTAACCGGTTTAATAAGAGGCCTACCAGCCCATATCGCCGCCTGTGGCTAGAATATTCCACTTGCAATTTCAGACTGGTAGGCTGCTCTGTTGGGACTTAGAAAAAAAAAGCGCTGACATACCTGACTTCAGTCGGGTGCCAGCACGTTTTGTGTAAGTTATTGATCATGAACACAGCTGATTTGTTTAATTTAGTGATGAATCACTCCTGTAGACACTTAGGAAGGCTGGGAGATGTTTCAGCTGTTAGATTACGGTGATTACGGTGTTAAGAATACAAACGCACAGGGAGGAGATATGCTTTGCTTTTAGTTCTACAAACGGACACTAGGGGGTGCTAAAAGCATGTGAAAACTACCTAGTTCCTCTTTAAGCTTCATTTTCAGTTTAACCTCTCACGTTGTGAGCCAGGAGGAGGTTAGGACCCAAGATGCAGAAAACCCAGAACGACACAAGGCAGGTAGAAAAAACGTTAAATCCTTTATTTAAGGAATAAATGTCCACGAAACCAAAAAGTCCAAAAATATCCAAAACACAAAAACCTAGAGACCTAGTAGCAAAAACCTAGCGACCAAGAGGGGGAAACGAGAACAATGCTGACACAACGACAATGGACCGACACACACTGAGAGACAAGACAGGGTTTTATACACGGGGGCTGGGTGATTAAGGGAATTGGCCACAGGTGATACAAATTACCAAGAGGAGGAGCAGAACAGGGCAGGTGAGGAAGGCACAAACTAAAACCTGTTAAACAAAGCTACTGAACTAAATAACTTAAAACACTTTAGAATTAAGACACTGAAGAACTAAAGATAAATAAACTAATGACCTAGGAGTAATAGAACCAAAAACACTGGAAGACAGGGGAGGATGGTACCTAAAGGGAGAAATGAACTAGACAATCTACAATAACAGAAAACTAATGATAAGTGGAGTGACTAAGGGAAACATGAGGGAAACCTGGAGAGAACCTGGAGGGGGCTGGGGAACACAAGGAGACACATGAGGGGAACCTGGAGAGAACCTGGAGAGGGTTGGAGAACACAAGGGGACACATGAGGGGAACCTGGAGAGAACCTGGAGAGGGTTGGAGAACACAAAGACACACGAGGGGGGCGCCGAACATGACATAACCACAGTAAAAAGAGGTGTTAAAAGCAAGCAAAGCTGCCTAGTATCCCTTTAGTGTATGGCTGCACATGAAACAGTGATGCTGAATGATACAAGTGAATTAAAAGCTAGAATAGTAGAAAATGGTGTTTTTTTATGTAGAGTTTGATTCCTTTTGTTGCATTTTCAATAGAAGATGCAAATTGCACAGTTTTACTGAACATACATAATTGTTCCTTTAGTCCCAACTCTCCCTTGGAAATGGCCTTTTCAAAGCCTCACACACATCAGCATGAATACTGGACAAATAGCAAAAGAGAGGAACAGCATAACAATTACTTTAGTGTGAAAGAAAATACTTTATTCTGAGGAAAAGTGACTTTAAAAATGATCAATCATGTGAAATTACAAGCAGGAGATACGTTTTTATATGTAGCAAAAATGTAAAACAGAAAATTTTTTATATTTTTAATAATAAAAAATCACTCTATTAGATTGAAATTAACTGTATTTCAGTCAACTGCAGGGTTGTTGCCAGAGAGACAAGTGGGGACATGATGAGCAGTTTCATGTTTTTTTCTTTCTTTTTTACATTTTATAATTTTCAGTCTGTATGTTATTTTGCAGATGTCAGGGTTACATCAAAGCCAGAATGAAGTCGGAGGAGAAGAGGACTCGCTTCCACAGCGGCCACGGTATGTGCTGCTTCATATTTTTGCTAAATACGTCACACAGCCACAGTAGGAGGAACACTCAAACATGTATTGCTCCCGTGGGTCTCAGTTTTATGTAAGGAGTTTATTAATTATTTTTCCATCTACTACTGGCAACATTTACTTCCTTGTAGTTCAGCTAGCATGTAAATTTGTGGAGTGATTACACTCTGAGTGCTGTTTTAGATGCGGTAAAAGCAACAAGGCTCCAGGGAAAGACCAAGGATGAAAGTTTAGATGAAACTTGAGAATATTTAGAATATTTCAGACCCGTTTATTCAGTTATTCAGTGGCTTTGTGAGCCACACAAGGAGGCAGCTTGTTGCCGAATCTGTTATGCTACAAGTGGTTTTATTTTGAGTGTCTTTAGCGAGAGGCTTCTTCAGATCCACTGCAGCACAAACAGATCTACAAGCAGAAAAGATTATTTCTGCCCACATTGAATTCTGTAATAACTCTTTGAAGACACCTGAATAATAACGAGTGGCAGCTAACTTCCCTCTGAGACTAATAAAGTGTTTTTCTCATTTGAGTTTGCATTGATACACAAATAAAGGCTTTAGAGTGTGTAGAGCTGCTCCTAAATGTTAGCTTCAGAAATCACCAGAAACAAAAGTGCCCTGTCTGTTAGACAGGCTGCCAACTCTCTCACTTAATGATTGTGAGACAAGCACATTTGACTGTCATCACATGCTATCACAACTTATCTCCAATTTCTCACGCTGAAAAAAGAAATATTTATCTCAATTTAAAAACCTTTCCTCCCTCAGTATTTAGCTAAAAACACAATTAAAATTGTATTCATGTAAATTGTTAGTGCTAAATGCAGCTAGCTACAGCACTACAAACAGTTTTTATTGCCTCATATAAACAAGGAGGGTTTTTATTGCGTTATATAAACAAGGAGGGGAATGTTCGCCCTCTGGTGGTGATGTCCTGGAACGTTGGTTACGTACTGTAACCCCAGATTCTATGAGTCTAGTCGCAGCCCTTAAGCTAGCTGCTATTGGAAGGATGATCTCAGCATCAGCCAATCATGAAGAGCTTAAATGTATGCCCACCAACGGTGGACACCCTTGTGGGTATATAAGTGGAGCGACTCCACTGTTCGCCTCCGAATGCTCTTGGTCCTAACAGAACCAGTGGGGCCATTGGCTTAAGGGCTGCGACTAGACTCATAGAACCTGGGGTTACAGTATGTAGCCAACGTTCTTTTTCGTCTAGTCTTAGCCCTTAAGCTAGCTGCTATTGGACTAATGCGCAGCTGGATGGGTTTACGCCACACTGTTTAGCTCGACCAATGGACACACCCAACATGTCTCCTTTTAGTGAGGGTCGCTCAGCCTCAGCCCAGGGCTTAAAAGGCTGAGGCAGCCAGAGAGAAGAGTGGGGTTCCCACGAAAATATCATCCACAAAAGGATGAAATTCATTCAAGTAGGGCTGATGTGGTGCCACAATGCTTTCACTCAGCCTGCTGAGGTCCAAGCACTGAACGAGTGATGAAACCTGAAGACACATCTCGTAAATAATAACGAGTAAAGGAACATGGGGAAGCCCATGAAGCAGCCTGACAAACGTCTTCCATCGACACACCACTGTGGAGCGCCATACAAGAGGAAATCCCTCCGGCTGAGTGTGCCCTGAGTGTCTCAGGAGGATCTCGCCCTGAAGATGTGTATGCGAGTGAAATGGCGTCACATAGCCAGTGTGAAAGACGCTGGGTCGACAGCGCTTGCCCAAGGGAAGAGTCTCCGTAGTGCACAAACAGGCTTTGTCAGCGGCGAATCCCTGAAGTACGTGACACATATCGTGCGAGCGCGCGCACCGGGCAGAGAAGGTGGGAAGCCGCCTCCTCATCAGAATTATGGGGAGGAGGAAAAAGTCCAGCCAATGAAATTGACCTGGATTTGAAGGAAGTATTAATGTTTTGGGGCACAAAGGCTGGGTTGGAGCATAAAACAGCAGACCCGCCATCTTCCCGGATCCTGAAGCATGCGGGAGCCACTGAGAGGGCGGTTAGGTTGCTCACCCTCTTGACTGATGCCAGCGCCAGCAGCAAGGGGCAGTTTTGAGTGACAGGAACTTGAGTGAGACCTGGTCCAAGGGTTCAAATGGGGATTCAGATAAGCTGCGCAGAACCACCGTTAGGTCCCACTGAGGAAATAGCGGGCGGGACACAGGTCTGTTCCTTCTGACACCTTTAGAACACGTTTTGTGAGGGGATGATTAAAAACAGATCTATCACCAAAACCCTGGTGACAGGATGAGATAGCTGCAGCATATGTTTTAATAGTGCTGAATGCGAGGCCCCTGTCCATCAGTATCTGCAGAAATGATAGGACATCCGCCAGCTGGCAGGAGAGCGCTTGAACATTCCGCTCTGTGCACCATTTTTGGAAAGCTGCCCATTTAGCAGCATAAGATGCGGCGGTAGAAGGCGCCCGAGCACTCTGAATTGTGGCGACCACATCATGCGGCAGCCCAGAAGCCTCTAAGCGTGACCGCTCAGCGGCCAGACCCACAGCCATTGGCCTATTTCTGGAGGATGTTTGATTATCCCATCCGCCTGGAGAAGGGCGTCCGCCCTCCACGGGGAGCCGGACACTAGCACTTACAGGTCCAGAAACCATGATGCGGACAAGCGTCTGGGAGCTACCAGAATTACCGAGAGCTGTTCCGACCGAACTCGGTCCAGGGGACGGGGAATCAGTGGGACCGGTGGAAACACATACAGGAGCGTCTGAGGCCAGGGCTGGCGTGAGAAGGCGTCTGCTCCGAGCGGGGAGTGGTCCCGGGGACTCAGGGAAACCCACAGGCGACACTGAGCGTTTTCGCGAGCCGCGAACAGATCCACAGAGGGTTCCCCGAACTTGATCCAGATCTGTGACATCAGTGCGGGATGCAGACACCAGTCGGAGTCGCGGGGTCCCCCTCTCGACAGGATGTCTGCTACCACATTCAGGACCCCCGGAATGTAGGTGGCTTTGATGGACAGCAGGTGGACATGTGCCCAACACAGTAGATCTGTGGCTACGCGCAATAGTGGGAGGGATCAAACTCCCCCTTGGCGATTTATGTAGGCTGCCGCCACCTGGTTGTCTGTGTAAACTTCGACATGATGGCCCTCGAGAAGGGCAGCGAAGTGCCTGATCACATTTGTCACTGTCATAAGCTCCAACACATTTATGTGCTTGTGCGTGTGGGAGGGCCAGCGATCTGCCACCGTATGGGACAAGCACGTGCCCCCCCCCCCCCCCCCCATCCTATCAGTGACGCATCCGTAAAAACAGATATGTGTGACGTAGGACGTCCGATGGGGACCCCGTGTGAGAGGATGCAGGGATTCCCCCAGTTAGCGAGGTCCCCGCCCACTGAAGGGGGAACCCTCAACATACGTCTCTTCTGACGTATCGGGTGTACCCGGAGGCAGATGAACCAACGATGTAGGCATCTCGTGTGCAGTAAACCTAACAGCACCACAGCGTGGGCTGCAGCCATCATGCCCAGAAGTTTCATGACTAACAGGGCTCTCACATTCTTGCGGGGTTGCACGCGGGAGATCACCGTGGTGAGATCTGCTGCTCTCACCGGAGACAAACGTGCTCTCATTAGGGAGGCGTTCAGCTCCACCCCAAGAAACACAATCGACTGGGATGGAAGGACGGAGCTCTTTTCCCAGATTATGGAAAACCCCAGGGTTGACAGGTGCTCTATTAACTTCCTGGTTTGCTCTGACGCCTCGTCCTTGGACCAGGCGCATAGGAGCAGATCGTCCAGGTAAAATAAAACCCTCATTCCCGCCGTGCGCAATGGCTGCAGAGCGGTCTCCAAACATTTGGAGAAGGTGCGCGGGGCTAGCGAGTAGCCGAAAGGGAGACCATTGAACTGGTATTGAACTCCCTTGAATGAAAAGCGCAGGAACTTCCGGTGTTTGGGAATTACTGGAACGTGGAAGTATGCATCTTTCGGGACGTGGAAGTATGCGTCTTTCAGGTCTATTGTAGTGAACCATTCCCCGGAGCGCACGCATTCTAGAACTTGCCTCATTGTTAACATGTGGAAATGCATCACTGCTATGGAACAGTTGAACAGGGAAAGGTCGAGAATTGGTCTCATTCCTCCTGACTTCTTCGTTACTACGAAGTAGCGGGAGTAGAAGCCTGAGAGCTCTTGTCCGCGAGGGACTTGGGAAATGGCGTCCTCGGACAGAAGTTCCCGTAGCTCCAGCTCCAGGGCCTGAGACTGTTCCTGTGACGTGAACGTCGCCTCCACGATCCCGTTGAAGGGAGGAGGAGCGGACTGAAAATGGAGTGTGTGACCGCAATGAATGGTGTCCGATGTCCATTTTCTCTTGAGACAATGGTGGTGCCATTCTTGCGCGCGTTCCGACAGCGGACGCGTGTTCAAGGTCACATGAATGACGTCTAAGGACTGGGTTTGCGCCCTTACCGCCGTCGCTCGCACCAGAGAACTGGGAGCGACCCATGGAGAGCTGTGCTCGAAAAGGCGAGTGTGAAACAGTTGGAAGAGGCTGATCCGCACCGCGGAGCGTGGAGTCCGAAGATAAAGGACGAGTGGAAGCCGGACCCGTGCACAGGGACGACAAAGTGCCAGCAGATGGAGCCGCGCACTGTTTCTCCGCGTGTGGTCGCGATAGCGCCATGACATCCTGTCCCACCCTACGTTGTGGGGGGAGCGGGATGTGTTGGGCCTGGCTGTAAGCTAGGGCCGGTGCGCAAATGGAGCACACCCGTACAGCTGGCCGTGTAATATGACTGACTGCGTGAACATGCAGGTGTGTCGCAGTGCTTGGTGTGAGGAACATGTGTGAGGATTCGGCAGAGGATTCTGCAGAGGACTGTAGGATTTTGCTCTCAATGTGACGTTTTTTGGGCTTTATTTCAAAACCAAAATCATTCACAGAGTTAACATTACAGTCATAAGCACACACATTCCCCCCAACGAGTCATTTTTGTGGTTG